CCCTATAAACCCATAAACCCTAAACCCTAAACCCTAAACCCTAAACCCTAAACCCTAAACCCTAAACCCTAAACCCTAAACCCTAAACCCTAAACCCTACACGTAGTGATAATTAGTACTGCTAGCAATCGCCGCGCGGTGCGGGGGCCAGGCTCGAGAGGTTGCTGAGGCCGAGGATGGACTTGGCCTCCGTCCCTAAACCCTAGTAGTAGGGTAGGTAACCTTTAACTTTTTTGGGGTAGTACAATCCCTATATAACCCCTATATAACCCCAAAGGTTAACCTTTAGTTCCCCATGATACCCGACAAGTAAGAAACCCTAAACCCTAAGCCGGCTTTGGGTGAGGGGTTTGGGGTTTAAGGGTTTAGGGTTTAAGGGTTTAGGGTTTAAGGGTTTAGGATTTAAGGGTTTAGGATTTAAAGGGTTTAGGATTTAAGGGTTTAGGATTTAAGGGTTTAGCAACCTTTAAACCTTTTCGGGTTCTTCTAATTGGGTTCTTATAAGTTAGTGGTAATCTCAAAGTTTAACATGTAATTTGTATGGCTTATTGGGGAGGTAACTGTTTCTCATTCTTATGAGGGCCGCAGAGTTAAACCCTAAACCCTAAACCCCCGGTACACCCCACACAGCTAGAAGCTTCTTAGCCGAAGGCATCGCCGTCCTGTGGCCGCGATTCGGCTACCGAGTTCTCGCGCCCGTCCCAGTGGTCCTTTCCAGGTAAAGTTCCTGGGGTTTTCAAACTTTTCTAGGCCCCTGACTACATTTCCCAAAAACCCAAAACCCGAAACCGCCGGTTGAAACCCCTACGCCCTAAACCCCTAAACCCCTAAACCCGACACCCCTAAACCCAAATACCCTCTCTTCAGAACCCCAAGGCCCCTTGGGTAGTGGGCGCTGACGTAAGATAGGGGCTTTCACAATTAGCTATACTATTTTGGGGTTCCCTATTATGATTGCAGTATAATTAATGGGCCCCAAAACCCTATTTTTAATTTCTAAGGCCCCTAATATAGAACCCTATCATAGATCCCTTATAGAACCCTTTAAGGATCCCTTTAAAGGACCCCATTCTAATTGTTAAGGCCCCTATATTGCATACCCTATACCCTAAACCCTAACCCCCAAAATCCTAAACCCCTTAAATCCTAAACCCTATAATCCTAAACCCTATAAACCCTAAACCCTGAACCCTGAACCCTAAACCCTAAACCCTTTTCGAATTATTGAGGCCCCGTACAGTCTGGCGTAGCTGCGAATGACAGGTCAGACGGACTTGAGGATCCCTTGCTGCAGAGTGCAAGGCGTCAGAAAACCCACCTTAGGGATTAGAGCTTTAGGATTTTAGGGTTGAGGGTTTTAGGGTTTAGGGTTTAGGGTTTCAGGGTTTTACGGTTTAGGGTTTAGGGTTTAGGGATTTAGGTTTTAAGGTTTGAGTTTAGGGGTTCAGGGTTTAGGGATTTAGGTTTCAGGGTTTAGGGATTTAGATTTTAGGGTTTAGGGATTTAGGTTTTAGGGTATGTGGGTTTAGGGTTTTGGGACTTTGGTTTTAGGATTGGTGGATTTAAGTTTTAGGGGTTCAGGGTGTAGGTTTTAGGGTTTGTGGGTTTAGAGTTTAGGGTTTAGGGCTTCTAGCATCTTGTTTTGCTGGTATTGGGTTTTCTTGTTGAGGGTTATGGGTCTAGCTCGATCATAAAGCCCCAGAATACCCACATGAGTCGACCGCTGAGAAGCCTAAACCCTACACGAATCAACCGCCCACTAGTTACATCATAAAGCCCCAGAACACCCTGATGAGCCTTTGTAAAGAGTTTCAAAATCCTCTATACAGTTCTGAATCACAGGGCTATAACAATGCCTGAGCACCCTTACTGTAAGCCCTAAAGCCCCTCAACGACTAAACCGTAAAACCATAAACCACCAACCCCACAACCCCTAAACCCTAAACCTAACAGCTTACAACACCATAAACTCTGAGTCCGAAATTCCCAAGCCCCAGTTTGAAAGACAACGCCTGCGAGACCCCTGTGTAAGACTACGAGACACTTGTAAAACACAATAAAACTCATGCGACGACCCCTGTAAGGCCCTCCAAAAGCCAATAACAACCTTGAAAACCGTATTCAAATCTGATGAAACCCAAGATAAACCCTGATGACAGCCCTGATAAACCAGATAAGGCCCTTGCAAACCTGTATAAGACCTTATAAAGCCATGTCAAACCCTTATAAGCCCTAAAAAAAACCCACCAAAGCCCCGCTTTCTTCCCGCCTTCGAAGAACCAAGGCGCCCCAGCTGAGGCGGCTGCTGCACGCCTCGGAATCCGGAGGCGTAGTTCTATAGGCTTTAGAGTTTATGCGGGGTTTAGGGGTTTAGGGTTTAGGGGTTTAGGTGGTTAAGGGTTTAGGGGTTTAGGTGGTTTAGGGTTTGGGGTTTAGGGTTTAGGGTTTTGGGTATAATATTGGGGCATTAATAATTACCTATACTATTTGGAGGGTTTCTTATTATAACTGTTGTATAATATATCCCAACACCTCTCCTGATTATTAAGGCCTCTATACTAAGTCCTTCAGCTTTGTAGCAGGGCCTTTGCGGATCCAGCTGCCTCAGCGGGAGGCGTTTGAAGAGTCCTCTTCAAGGGTTTAGATTTAGGGTTTAGGATTCAGGCCTTAGATTTGGCAATAAAAGAAGATATGACCAGGTCTATCGAACAAAGGGGGAGAGCAGTAAGACTGATTTGTTTTACTAGTGATGCTCGCAACAACCTGACAAAGCAGGAACATATGACAATACTGTGAAGTAGTCATGCCAATATCCTAAGCAACAATCCCTTCAACACTTAAACACCAAACCGTTAACCCTTAAACCTACCCATATCCCTAAACCCTAAACCCTCAACCCTAAACCCCTAAACCCTGAACCTTTTTTGTGGTTCATCTTTACGATCCTATCTCCTATCAGGCAGCCCGCAAAAAGGATTAGGTTTAGGTTTTAGGGTTTAGGGTTTAGGGCCCTAAACCTACCTATAGTCTCCATTGTAGTTCCTTTTTGGGGATACCTTATAGAATCCTTAATATATAACTGGTTAAACCAAAATTTCAAGAAACTACAATGGAGACTATAGGTAGTAATTGTAAAGTTCACCGTT